TGCTTAGACGCATCGGTGAACACGGATAGTGCAGGCGGGCGTTCCAAAATATTGTACATGGGTGCACACAAACTTCCGCCGCGCAACGAGAGACCACGCCTGTGGAACCACCGCCAAAATTCGAGGTCATCGTGGAATAATGGACCCAGCACTACACGTCTGTTCGGGTTTGGCACTTGGGACGCGAAAGTAGACGAAGCGGGCATCCCGACCGCGGATAAAAGGCGCCCCACAAAGAACTTTCCTGGCCGCAACACGAACGAAACGTGCATAAGAAACCCTGTCAACTCGGCTACTTGACGAGCTGTAGCGACTTTCCGCGTCGCGGGCCACGCAGCCAATATGCGTCCCAGTTTCTGCTGTTTCGTGTCGGTCATAGTAATCGTGAGTTGCTGAGTGTCCAATGTCCAACCCAACACATCCAAACGAGTAGCGAAATCTGTGATTTTTCCTTGCGACAACAACGGCGGGTCTGCTGGGCCTCTCTCTCCCAGCAGACGAAAGTGATCCGTAGCGAGAGAACGCACCGCGCGCAAACATCGGCGGCCATCAGCGAAAAATCTCCCTTCAATCAACACGCCATCATCAACGTAGTATCGCACGAAAAACGGAGAACCAGCAAACGCCCCGTCGCCCACAATAGTCTGGCAATCAACAGGTAACGGCACCGCTGTACTTTCGTCTGGTGGGGACACTACTTGAACATGCTGCACAGCCGCAGCACCGGCGGGAGAGACGGACGCGTCTTGAAATGTAGTGTGTGTGTGTGAGTGTTCCAACGCGGACGAGAACAAGGACCAAAACCCTGGGCTCGACCGCCATCCAAATTGACACCGTAGGTCAACAACCGCGTGATCGCCGATCGTGTACCCAAAAACCGATGCCCGAGACGGATCCACCGGGATTTGTCGGAAGGCTTCTTTCACATCAATGCGGCAGATGAGAATTTCCAACGACACGCCGTGTACTTGTCGCAAATACAGCACCCGTTTCAGAATATCACTCAAAACATGACCCAAGAGGCATTCGGGTGCTTGATCAAAGTCTGTATCGTGATTTACGCTGGTACGGATGGGCACGCCGGAGGTGAACGTGAGATCGTGAATTATTCTGAACTTCGGTTTGTCGATGACGCCCAACGGCGACACTCTAACACCTAAGATTTCTCGGATAAACCGAACATCGAAAACCAACGCACGCCCCAAGATCACGTCCGATACCACTTTGTCTGTGATCCGATCTCTGTGCAGTAACGCGCTAGGATGGTTGCCGTACGCCACTTCAGCGTCCAGGTTCCCACCTAAGCCCACGTCAACCGGCGCACCCGGAGACAACGATCTCAGAAGTTGACTAACTCGGGGAAACTTTTTCGCGTCACCAAAATGCGCCTTGACACGCATCACATCGACATGGGGCAGAAAGAACTTCTGGCCAACAGCGGCGACGAACCTTTCCACGCGTCCCCCACACCGTCGAAGCAAGTTTGAACCCACATGCGCCACATGGTTAAGATGGACGTACCGTTCTGCAGCTTCACACGCAGCCAACGCAGATACGGCCACCCGCCACTCTTCAACCTCACGCGGCGAAACCTGTTCAAAACTTTGCCTCGTACCTGACTCCAAGTCGGAAGCCACTCCGGGCAAGCCCTCCCAGCGCTCGCCTCGGATCCCCACGCCAGCCAAGGCCCGGGACGCCATCTCCCTATGACCTGGCTGCTGTTGCGGCCTCTCAGCTGGAACCGACACTGGAGTTGGCCCCGCCACCCGGCGGAGCCCGCACCCCTATTTGCTGCCACCCCGCACCGCCAAGGCCGACGACGAGCCACCACCGTCGCCACCGTCAGCCTGTCCTCCTCCCCGGGCGACGCCGCCCCCCTGACCACCAGCCGACGAGCGCCCCCCGCCACCGCGACTCCCGCCCCCCCCACCGCCACTTCCGGTGCTTGACGAATCTCGGCGCTTCACGTGCTCAAACCTGCATTTGTCGCCGAAAGAGCACGTGCCAGAGTCGCGGAACTGGAAGCACTCCCTTGTGACACGCTTCCGTGACGATGAATCACCCCGATCCAGTTGGCCCGCCTTACGCTTGCCGCTCCCGCCCCGCGACTCTCCTGTTCCGGGGAGGGATCCTCCGTCACTCAGGACCAGCCGGAATAGATTGACCCCCCGTTCACAGAAGTTGTTGATGTTGGGGAACTCGGGCACCGGCGGCAAGGTGTGTCCGTCGAACGCGTCCGGCGGATAATGCATTTTCGTGAAGGGGTACATCCAGGTGATGATCGCCGTTGTCCACAATTTGAAGTCCTCGTTCGGTAACCTTGGCAGTGCCGCCCGCTGGTACTCGTCCGGAAACACATCACTATTCCGCACGAGAGTAGTCCGAAACCTGGAGCGCGCGTCCGCCATGGCTGTGGCTATGGGTTCCAACCGCCGCAGCGATTGCACACCCGCGGTCGTGGACGAATCTAGACCAAACTTCAACAGCCGCATCACTGCCTCACACATCACGTCGAAGTTGTCTGCAATAGACGACGTACGGGCGACCCCCACGGGCCGGAAGCTCTTGACGTCGAAAGACGAAAACGCACGCATCTGGGCGAGGACGTCGCCCGTGACGTGAACGATATCGCTCATCAATCCCTGCAGGTCCTCTTTCTGTGGCCCGGGCTCCGGCCCCCGCTGCCCCCGAAGTACCCAGAGTGTCTGATTGTATTTGGCCTGCCAAATGGTGGCCTCCCTCCTCGCCTCCTCTTTGGCGTTGGACCTCGCGGGCACACTCGCCCCCCCGCCCGCGCCCCCGCCCCACGGCGACGACGCCGGCACCAGACCGAGGCCTCCCGAGCCCCCGGGCCCACGACTCCCATCCTGCCCCGACTCCGGCCGGAAGTTCTTCAGCAACCCAGCGATCTCGGTAAGCTGCGCCACAATGTTCGTCTGGCCTTGTTCCAGACGAGCGATTTTTTCCGCATTCTCAGACGCGAGCGTGGTGCCCTCGCTGGGCTCTCCCCCCGCCGCAGCACCCACCGACATATGGGCCAAACGAGACATGACGTGGGCCTGGACTTGGTCATCCGCACGCCCGAGCTCCGGCTGGCGGTCCCCGCTGGAAGCCAAGGCCCGAGCATGACTTTGCGTCGGAAACCCACTGCTCTCGGCAACACCAACATCTGCGGATGATTGCGTTGTTGAAGCCACGTCACCTGCTGGTGAATCCACGCCATCGGCAGCAGCCCTCGCGGCCGCCGCAATAGCGCCCGCCACAACCTGAGACGGAAGAAACGAACCCCCTCCCGTCCCCAACGCCGACTCGACCTGACCGCCAGTAGATCCTTCACTGCGGACGACACCAAGGCGCTCTTCCGTCTCCGGCGACTTGTGCTCGGATGACATGGCCCAAATTTGATGCAACCGAGAGCCGCCAAGATTCAAACCTCCCGTTCCAACCGATATGTGAATGCCCCCAGCAGCCCGCGCCAAGTAGATCTCCTCCAAAGAAATAGATCTCCTCCGAAATACCTCTTGGCTGCAGCAGCCTCCCTCGTGCTTCCTTGGGGCAGACCAACAAGTGCTCCCAAGTCTACTCTTCTGGTCAGGTTTCAGACACTTCACGCTGACTCCATGCTGCTGCACTCTGATTGGCCAACAGATATTTCATCTTCCGCTCCTCACAAAACTCAGATTTCAACGCCTCTGTCTCTGCAATCTTCTGCTTCCAGAATCTAGATTGAAAAATGTTCGGTACGCCCAAGAAATTACGGGGCCACCAACCCGCACTTCCGCTCTACGGCAGTTCAGGCCCCGCACTTCATCCTCAGTTCGACACACACACCGCACGCAACCAACACAAGTGTGTACGCCCTGTGCTCAGTAACGGTGGGTTCCAACATCGCCGTGGATCTGTCGCTCCTGTGCCTGCATATCGAGCGTGCCCGCAGGCGAGGAAGTGCAGAGAAATTCTTCGAGACGGTCCTTGTCAGCCTGTGTCGCCCACGTATTTAGTGTGCGGCGCGTGGCGCACAGCGGACAGATTCGCGAGAAAGGTAAGCTGCCTTCGCAGATAGGGTCTGCGCCTGGCCTGACAAGCTAGTTTGGTTGCTTTCCCACCTTTTTTTATTTTCCGCCGAAGTTTGGCGTACTTCTGTTCCCTTTTTCTATCTTGGCACCGAGATCTCATTTTCGCCGCTCCTGGCGTCCCTGTGCTCGTTCGCTGAAGCGTGCGCTTAAGGGTGGAATTTTAGGGTAAACATGGACCTAGTTGGGCGTAAGTAGAAATTCTGTTCCAGGGTTGGTGCTGCTCACATGGGCATGTACGGTACAAGGTTCAAGCTCAGCACTGGCGACTTGTTTTCCACACGCCGTTTTCAGCAGCATCTGACGATGGTGGCGTATCACCATCCAGCAGTCCCAGCCAATTCAGTTATTAGCGTCCTCAGCTCGCCCTCCACTAATCCCGGTTTGTTTGATAGGTTCCTCTTCTATGCTCTCACGGCACTCAGGAGCCAATCAGGAAAAGGGAGCGTGCTTGTTGTACTCAGGGGCACACAGCTCCACCGCGCTGTGTACCGAAAAGCGAGTCCCGGAGAAGCTAGCTTTCTGTCGTGCACTCCCTGCGTCGTGTCCCTCATCGGAAGGTTTCTGTCTGAGCTCGCTTTTCGCCCGGGAGAGATTATTCGCTTTTTCTCAACGATTACGTGTTTTTGTACTTGGTAAGCCCAAATCGCGTCTGTCCATGTAAGGAACATCGACTTTCGTCGTTGTGGCATGAGAGTCAGAATCCCGTCTCTGAGACGAATTGTCAGTCTTTTTTTATACACATGTCAACGAAGAACGCCCTACAGCAACAATCCAGTTGGAATGAAACTGAACTTGATTGTGCCAGAGTCGCTCGAGTATCGCAGAATTCGCGAAGTCTCACGGCAACATTCGCACTCCTCTCCACCTCGTGTGTCGAACCTTTTTGTAAAGGTGGCGAGTTTCCACTCTTCGTAAAGGCCCCACTTTTTCCAGGGCTGCGGCACCCATGGCAGCCCGAGCTCCCTCCGATGTTAGCAGCGTTCAAGCGGGAGCAGCTGCAGCGCCAACAACGCCAGAGGTGGGGACTTTCTAGTTCATGTTTGGACTTGCCCCCAGCTTATGTTGCCTATATTGCCGTTCCAGTAGCGCCGCGGATGCAGCCGATCATGTCAAACTTCTCACAAGCCTCGTAACACGGCTCGTTTCCCGCAGAGGCTTGAGGAGGTCGAGACGCTTCTCGCGTACAAGAAGCCATGGCCTGCGTTTCTCTGCGCCGGAGTGGATGTCCACGGTGAGTGGGACAACTGCCCGGAGGGTGCCAGGGATGCGCTGGAATGGATGGCTTCAACGGCCGTGGGCTTGCTGGATATTGCGAGTGTTGGCCCTCTCACACCTGTCTGCAAGGCATTCACGGCTCTCATCGAGGCTGCACAAGGCGCTATGGAGGTAGTCAAGAACCTGCGGGAATTGGTCACTTGGTGCGCGTTCCTCGTCGGTGTACTCATCGAGCACGGCAAGCAAGTGGAAAATCTGAAGGCGGTCAACAAGCCACTGAACGAGTTCGTCGCCACAACCGGCGAGCTGGCGAAACGTGCGAATGTCGTGGCGGGGAGAGGCAAGTTCATGGCGCTCCTTCGCCACAAGAAGGACGCCAAAACCATCGCCAGCTTCGACGGCAAGCTTCAACGCATTTGAACCGACATCCAGGGGCTTGCCGTTCTGGACATCCAGGAGATTTTGAGAAGGATGGAGGAACGCTCGCGGCCTCTCCCTTTACCAGACATGGCCGACGTCCCTGCTGCGGCGCTGAAGCTGCCGCCTAGCCACGTGAAGCGTGTAGGACTGGAGGCCGAGATCCTCAAAAGTCTCACGACTACCGACGCGTCCGGTGCTCCGTATGTACTGCTGGGCGTGGGGGGAGCGGGCAAGTCGTTGCTGGCATCTTCCGTTGTTCGGACCGAGGAGGTTCGGAAGCACTTTCGAGCAGGCGCTTTTTGGCTGAGGGTGGGACCGGGGGGTGAGGACCAGCTTTTTGCGCTCTGTGATATTTTGGCAAGGAAGGTTACTCCCGCGACCAAACTACCGCAACAATTCAACAGCCTCGAGGATATCATCCAGCACTTAACTGTCGTTGTTGCGGAGGACAGGCTGCCTCGCCTAATGGTCCTGGATGATGTATTGGAACGTGCGGTCGTGGACACGTTGCGACCCACGGGGCTCCGTCTGCTCGTGACCACCCGTCTGGATTCTTTGGTGGCTGTGAGAGGGGGACGCACGGTCGTTGGGAACATGGACAGGGCGGAGGCCCGAGAGCTCCTGAAAAGCAAGAGTGGTGCCATAGAACTTCCGGAGACGGAGGCTGATCAGGTGTGGTTGTGGTGTTGCAGTTGCCCGTCGTATAGTGGTAGGTATTTTTCATACATTAAACGTGTCCGCAACTTTTCTACTCATTCCCATCATCTCATCAGCTGTTCATTTGTGTTTCTGTGACATCACAGGTCGCCGAGGCCTTTGGGTGGCACGCGCTGACCCTTGCCATCGCGGGATCGCTGTGGTTTGTCACGGATGACCCAAACTCTGCTTCAACATGGCGCCGACTAGCGTTGGAGCTCGCGCAATAGACGAAGACGATCCTGGGTCCGCAGATGGACGCTGACATCGGTGACAACCCGACCAAGGAATCGTTGTTCCACGTCCTGGACCTGAGCTTGAAGTATCTCGGTCGACATCAGCACCGCCTGTTCCTCAGCTTGGTTGTGCTCGCCCGTGGCGTTTCGGCTCCGGCCCCTATGCTGGCCAGCATCTGGGATATGGTGGGCCTTTGCGTGATCAAGTGTGCAACATCGTTGGAAAAGTATGAGTTAGCCGCCACCGGGAATAGGCCGAAAAGCGTTAGATTATCCAGGAATAACGTGCCTCCTTGGAGTCCCCCTTGGACAGTGAGGTTATTATCTTCTCCGAAGGGTCATTGTTGAAGCCCTCATCCCCCTTATTTGAGGTACCCAGGTTTTTATTTTTTTTGAAAGAGCTGGCCCCAGGGTGGTAATTTTTTGGGCCATAGACGGCACTCTCTTCAGGCCGAATGCGGCGTGTATGGTAAAGAGTGGTATTAAGTTGACTTGTTGGCGTGGTCCGAATACCGGGTTCCGGACGAGAGAAAGACCTGTTTTTATATATCCTCCCACTTTTTTTTTCCAATTCTGTGTAACGACTTCGATTTTGGGAGAAACGATGTCCATGAGTTTACTTCGCGCTTGCAAGCAACATATCTGTAACAAAGTATATTGTTCGAACGTTTTCAGGACAACATGGGTGCCAGGAACGAAGCTGACTTTTTCGTGAGCAACTCCCTTCTGCAAGAGGTGGATGGCTCCTTTCGCGTGCACGACCTTCTGTTGGACTTCGCTCGGACTAGGTGCGAAAAGGAGATCTTGGACGAGGCCGTGAAACGCCAAAGCCAGTACCTGCGCAGGCTGGCTGTGCTCCAGGACTATCGCGCCAAGGGTGACCCTCTTGAAGGCCTCTACTCCCTCATCGTCCTGTGGCGAAAACTGGCAGAGCATTGTGGTAACGAGCAGGTGGAGGTGGAAGCCTACCACGCCAGTCTCGGGGAGCTCGGCGACGACGAATCAGCAGGCGCCGCGGACGCTTTCTCGGCTGTGGGGCGATTGCTTGGACTCGAGGTAGACTCCGGCCTCTCGGTCGTTGTGGTTTTTGGAGGTGCATTTGAAGCCGAAGGATACTTCTCAGGGCTTTTGCGAAGAGCAGCCAGTTGAACCTCGTTCGAAGAACGTTGTCATGGGGATGTATCGGTATTCACCAACGCGTAGCTGGCGACGGAGGAAGAGAGAGTCTTGTCATTTGCATGTGAATGTTGGGCGGGGCCGGAAAGGTACTTAGTGGCAGCATGTGCAAAGTCTAACCCTCTTTACGTTCGAATTTTTGACACGGGGGAATCTCTACCCTGACACTCAGCCTTCGTCGTTGAGACTCATATCAACCGCGCGGGTTGGGTTGTGGGCGCTTTTTTTTCGTTCCGCGTGTTGTTGAGAATGTGATGCTCCGAACGATGCTCGCCTTGGTCACGCACAGACTCACCTTTATGTCTCCTTCCAGGGCAAGTTAGATGAGGCCGGCCCGTTGTACGATAGGGCCATCAGGATTTGGGAGGCGGCTCTTGGGCCCGAGCACTCGCAAGTGGCTACAGCGCTCAACAACCGGGCGCGGTTGTTGAGAGTACAAGTGAGAGCCACCAGATTTTTCCAGGAATTTTCGTAGGGTTTACCTTGTCGATGTATCGGTTCAGATCCTGGTGAAGCGCATCCTCACATAACCCTCTCCTTGCTATGCAGGGCAAGTACGACGACGCCGAACAACCTTACGAGCGATCACTAGCCATACGAGAGAAGGTACTTGCTCCAGAACATGGGCGTTGTTGTTGAAGGCACAGGTGAGAGCCGTCAGAATTCTAGAGGAAATTTCTTGTAGTATCCAACAGATTTTGCAGGTGCTCAACAACAGGGCGTACTGTTGAGCATTTGTTCTTCCGCATTAATATCTACCACTCAACACTGACTCCCTCGCTGTTTTTGGCATACCCCAGGGCAACTACGACGAAGCCGGGAAGTTGTATGAGCGTTCTCTTGCCATCCGCGAGAAAGCACTAGGGCCTGACCACCCGGACGTGGCCCAGTCGCTCAACAACTGGGCGGGGTTGTTGGGCAAGCAGGTGAGAGCCATCAGAAAATTCCAGGAAGTTTCTTGTGGTACCCGATAGACTCAGGAGTGCTCAACAACAGGGCGGGCGGGGTTGTTGAGCAAGCAGGTGAGACCCGTCAGAAAATTCCAGGAAATTTCTTGTGGTACCCGATAGCCTCAGGAGTGCTCAACAACAGGGCGGGCGGGGTTTTGTCTCTCACTTCCCGAAAATGCCATTTTTGTTATTGTGTCGCCGCGCAAAGGCCGGGTCTTGGAGGTGGAACTCTCCCCCTCCCTCCCGGCCCTTGAGCCTACTAAAGAATCCATAACAAGAACCAGGCTGACCACATTCCGCTGGTCGCCCAGCTTGGACACAAACCTCAAACCTCCTTTATGTATGCCCTTTTTATTGCCTTCGGCCTCTGTGCTGTGTTTCTTTTTTCATGACCTCCCTGCATACTCTGCTGTGTTGGGTACCTTGATTGAGCTCGCTTTGCTGTTGCCTTTGTTTTTGTACGTCTGGCTGTCTGCCCATCTGCCGCCTCTTTGCCCTGTTTGCTCCGTTACTCCCATGCCCTGGTGCACAGTGCCTGGTGCTGGTACGTTACCCTTTGATTTTTTCTTT